GTGAAGCTCACCGAGCAGGACGTGACCTCAAACATCAGGGCATATCTGATCACCCATGGCGGTCAAACGCGTCTCTCGAACGTCGGCGGGAAGTTCAATGTCCGCAAGGAGTGGCTGACAGAGAACTTCATCGTCGAGGACAATCGGGTCTTCGTGTCGGCGGCTGCAAAGGACGAGTGGGACCAGAAGCGGCGAGTGGCTGGCGGAGATAAGGTCCAGGTGGCACCAAATCGTGCGCTGAACGCCAGGCCTAGCCTGGCCAGGCCTGCTCTGCAGCCGCGACGAGTGTGCGGTGGCTGCCCGGCCCGTCCAGGAGGGGTAGTGTATCAATCCGTCGGCCCAGGGCGGGTCCGACCTGTTGGGCATTGCAGGAATCTATCTGTCGGGGGTGGCCAAGAGGTGGGTACCCAGGCATGCGACGTCCTGATCTTTGCCTTGCAATCCCCAGAGTTACCTACCCCTTCCCCAGGACCGCTTTTTCATCCCGACTCGTTTTTTGACGGTCCTGGCGAGGGCCCCCAGGGGCAGAAAACGACCAGAAACCGCCCGCCCTGGTTTTTTCACGGCGCCAGTATGTCCTGGTAAGGACTAGGGGTTTGTGTGTGTGTGTGTGTGTGTGTGTGTGTGTGTGTGTGTGTGTGTGTGTGTGTGTGTGGGGGCATCACTCGGGGGTTCGCAGAGGGAGGGTTCTCCCAGGGTGGGGCCTGGGAGCGGGCCCAGCTGGATGCCCCCGTGTAGCGCGTTCCCCTTCTTCCAGGAGCCGTTCGGAGCGATTTTCCTTCCACCCCCACCAGTGCCCCAACCCCACCGTTGTGCCCCCCGAGATTCTAGGCCTCCCAGATGGGGTCGGAGTAGATGGGTTCGAAGGATCGCGCCGCATCGCCGATGCATCGCCGGCGCGGCGCGATGCGGAGTCCGCTGTTGTTCACGTCGACGTCGCCCGATGCATCGCCGGTGCATCGCCGATGCATCGCCGATGCATTGCCGATGCATCGCCGATCCTCCGACCCCACCTGCTCCGACCCCCTCTGGGAGGCCTCTATAGAGATGGCCAGGGCCGTAGGATCTCCCGGATCTCGTGGCCGCCCCTCCCTCCCCTCGGTGCGCGCTCGCCGGGCCCCCCCTCGCCCGTGCACGCGCCTCGTGCTGGGCGAACCTTCCGCCACCGCTGCCACATGCAGGACGGGGGAGAAGGGAGGATGACGAGGTCCTCCTCCTCCTCCTCCTCCTCCTCCTCCCTCTCCTCCTCCTCCCTCCCCCATTCCTCCCTCCTCCTCCCTCCTCCTCCTCCTCCTCCTCCTCCTCCCTCCTCCTCCTCCTCCTCCTCCCTCCTCCTCCTCCTCCTCCTCCTCCTCCCTCCTCCCCCTCCTCCTCCCCCTCCTCCTCCTCCTCCTCCTCCTCCTCCTCCTCCTCCTCCTCCTCCTCCTCCTTCTGGTCGTGGTGGTGGCAAGTGGGCCCATGACTTGGGGGCGTCGAGGCGCTCACCCCCCCTCTCTGCGTGGGCCACCCTCTTCGACGCGCCCGGAGCGGCTGGCTCGGCCAGCGTCGCGGCGGCCGTCTCCGTGGCCGTGTCGGGCCCTCGGTGGTCGGAGTGGCAGGCGCCGTGGGGCCTTCAGGAGGTGCCGTGGGGCGGAGGGGGTGGTTCCCGGGAGGGGGCCGAGAGGTCCCTGCTGGGGGAGGGGGGGGGGACACGTGTCGTGCTGGCGAGGCTCAAGTCGGGCCTGTCCCTCTGCAGGGGGGAATGTTCAAAGGTAGTCACAAGATAGTCACAGGGGGCGATTTTAGGATTATGTTCGGGTATTTTTGGGAATTGGTTGACATTTTTTTACCTTTCGTCCAAAATCCGCCTGTAGGGGGACACGCCCGACCGAGGGCTAGGCGGCACGCCCATGGGGGGGGAGCTGCCGCTCTCCCCCGAGAAGGCAGGGGGCTTCACAGAAGAGCCCCCCTGCCTTCCAACGAGGTGGCCAGGGCTCGCAGGAATCGGAGGGTGCCAAGTCCGCACGGAGTAAGTCCGAAGCCCTCCTTCCTTCCAACAAGGTGACAAGGGCTTTCAAGAATCGGAGGGGGCCAAGTCCGCACGGGGTAAGTCCGTACTGAGTGCTCGGCTTCCGTCTGGGCTTACTCCGTCTGGATTCAGCCTCTCCCCGAACGAGGGCCCGTTTTCGAGGCTTTTGGGGATTGCATTCGGCCCGTTATTCGGGCCAGCCGCGTCGCGGCGATGTATCTTGCTTATTCACCTGTCAGCCTTTCGGCCCCTCCCCTTCCCCCTTCCCCTTCTCCTCATCCTCCTGCTCCTTTCCTGGAAGGTCTTCCACCAGCGGAGGATTGGTTTGGAATCGGAGAAGAACAACAGGGTTACGACGCGCAACATGCGCATCAGGGACATCTACGTGCCGCCGACGAAATGGGGCAAGCCTGGGAGCAAGATCCCGAGATTCAAGGACATCAAGAAAGCCAGAGTCGATCGGAGCTGGAACACCGATCATTCGCCAACGCCCAGACGAGACAAACGTACCGATGCTGATATCCTTCCCTCGTTTTCGCCTTTCTTTGGGCCTTCCTGAGGGCCCTCGTCGCCACGGCTGGGTTCGCCTCGGAATGCTGGTCAGAACGCACACCAAGAGAGGTTCAAGGAGTGCGGGCATCGGCATTTTCTGGTTCCCCCACCAGACACGGATGATGATGATGATGATGATGATGATGATGATGATGATGATGATGATGATGATGATGATGATGATGATGATGATGATGATGATGATGGTGATGATGATGATGATGATGATGATGATGATGATGGTTGTGGTGGTGATGATGATGCTGCTGCTGATGATGATGTTGATGATTCTTGTTATGATGATGTTGTTGATGATGATGATGACAATGATGCTGCTGCTGATGATGATTATGATGCTGATGCTGCTGATGGTGATTCTAATAATATTGATGATCCTGCTGCTGCTGATGATGATGACGATGATGATGATGCTGCTTATGTTAATGATGACGATGCTTGTGATACAATGATGATGTTGGTGATGCTCATGCTGATGCTGTTGTTGTTAATGGTGTTGATGATGATGATGATGATGATGATGATGATGCTGCTGATGCTGATGATGGTGACTATGATTCTGATGGTGATGACGATGATGCTGATTATGATGATGATGATGATGATGATGATGATGATGATGATGATGAGGATGATGATGATGATGATGATGATGATGATGATGATGATGATGATGATAATGATGATGTGATGGTGGCCATGATGATGCTGATTCTGATGCTGATTCTGATGCTGGTGCCGATGATGATTATCCCAGTGCGACCCTACCTAGGAGTTGGAGCATTTAGGAAAGCAACATCTACATCTACACCGACAGCTACATTTACATCTACACCTGCATCTACATCTACATCAGCATCAACAGCGAGACTCACATCTACATCTACAGCTATTCCTACATCTACACCTACATCTACATCTACATCTACAGCTACACCTACATCCACATCTACACCTACACCTACGTCTACATCTACATCTACATCTACACTTTAGCATTGGTTTTGCTTTTGCTTTGCATTGCCTTTGCTTTTGCTCTTGCCTTTGCTTTTGCCTTGCTATGCTATGGTATGCTATGCTATGGTATGCTATGCTATGCTATGCAATGCTATGCTGCGCGATTCTGTGCTACGCTATGCTATGCTGTGCTGTGCTGTGCTGTGCTATGCTATGCTGCGCTGTGCTATGCTAAGCAATGTTATGCTGTGCTATGCTATGCTATGCTGCGCTATGCTATGCGATGCCATGCCATGCTATGTATGCTAATGCTATGCTATGCTATGCTATGCTATGCTATGCTATGCTATGCTATGCTGAGCTATGCTATGCTATGCTTGGCTATGCTATGCTATGCTATGCTTGGCTATGCTATGCTGTGCTATGCAGTGCTAATGCTGCGCTGTGCTAATGCTGCGCTGCGCTATGCTGCGCTGCGCTGCGCTAAGCTAAGCTAAGCTAAGCTAAGCTTAGCTTAGCTTAGCTAAGCTCAACTGGGTGAACTCAGGGGGCGCAACTGGGGGAACCGCGGGGCGGATGCCGGGGGAACCGCCCGGGCCGGTTCCCACTGCCCGGCCCCTTAAGCTTACACGGTAAGAACCCTTCTAGGCAGAGCCCAGGTAGGGAATTATGATGATGATGATGATATTAGGCTTGATGGTAAGAATGATATTGCTGATGCTGATGGTGTTGATGATGATGATGATGATGATGATGATGACGATGATGATGATGATGATGATGATGATGATGATGATGATGGCTTCTCTCGTTTTCGCCTTTCCATGAGCCTTCCTGGGAGCTCTCGTCGCCACAGCTGCATTCGCCTCGGAGTGCTGATCAGGACGCACCCCAAGAGATGTTCAAGGAGTACGAGTATCGATATCTTTTGCTTCCCATGGATGATGATGACGATGATGGTGATGGTGGTGATGATGATGATGGTGATGATGATGATGATGATGGTGATGATGATGATGATGATGATGATGATGATAGTGATGATGATGACGATGATGATGATGATGATGATGGCGACGATGACGACGACTATGATGCTGCTACTAATGCTGATGACGAGGATGCTGATGCTCATGATGCTGATTTTGATGCTGATGCAACTGATGATGATGATGATGGGGATGATGGTGTTGTTGATGATGATGTTGATGATGTTGATGATGATGATGGTTATGATGATATGGTGGTGGCCATGATGATGCTGATGATGACGACGATGGTGGTTGTGGTGGATGATGATGATGGCGAAGATCATGATCGTGATGATGATGGTGACAATGTTGATGACGATGCTAGCGGTGATGACGACGACGCCGACGCCGACGCCGACGACGACGACGACGACGATGACGATGATGATGATGATGATGATGATGATGATGATGATGATGATGATGATGATGATGTGGTGGTGGTGGTCATGATGATGCGCATGATGACGATTGTGTTGGTAGTGTTGGATGATGATAAGGATGACGACGATCATGATCATGCTCATGCTAATGATGATGACGATGATGATGATGATGATCATGATGATGACGAATCTGCTACTGATGATGATGATGATGCTGACGGTGAAGATGACGATGACGATGCCGATGACGATGATGATGATAAACATGATGATGAGGATGAATATAATGATAATGATGCTGTTGCTGCTGCTGACGACGACGAGGAGGAACAGGATGAGGAGGAGGAAGAGGAGGAGGAGGAGGAGGAGAAGGACATTACAATTTCCCGCTCTCAACCCACTGCTGGTGCTGCCGCCCAGCACACCGTTGAGTACTTCGTTTGTCTCTCTCTCTCTCTCTCTGCTCTTTCGGTGTCCTCCTCCTGAGTATGATATGCTTAACACGGTCTCACAGCATGCTGAGATTCCTCTGTGTTCTGGAGGGCTTGCCTTCTTTGCCTGCTCCTCTCTTTCCTCCGTCAAGTGCCCCTCCGTCCCACCGCTCGCTGACGAGCGCAGGAGTGGTGTCCCTCGCCCTCTTGCCGATGCCTGAGCGTCGCCGCCGCCGAGCATCGTCCGCACCCCCGCGCATAGATCCAGCGGAAGGCTCCCGTGGGGGGATTCGCATGCGCCCCCCCGCAATGTCGGCATTTGGAACCGTCTGGGGTCTGAGGTGGCCCAGCACTGATTCTTTCGGGTGCAGCTCCTGGGAGGTCAAATTCTGGTTCTGCCCTGGTCCGGAATCCGGTCTAATCCCGCCTCATCCTGCTCAGTCCAGCTTAATCCAGTTTAATCCCGCTTAATCTGGCTTACTCCCGCTTAATCCGAGGACCAATTTGGCGTAACAGCCCCCCAATGGGGCTGAATCCTCCTTAATCCTTCCGACGAAAGCTCCAAGTAGTTGCTTCCTAAGATTCTGGCCAGCAGGAGGGGGGGGCGAGGTTCTAGATTCTGGGTGCGAGAAGGTTTTTGGTCCTTTTCGCTCTCTGGTGGCCGTCTGCGGGCCCGGTGACAGTGAAGCGCGGATCCGGGGTGACAAAAGCTGCACCAGATGGACCCAGTGGGTGGCCTGGGGACCAATCTTGAATGGATTTGGCCTCGTCTCCCCTCCTGACCGATTTTCTGGGTTCCAACCAGCTCAGACCCCCCCGGCCGCCTCCAAGTCGGCACACCCTTCAAACGTTCCGTGGCCCCACGTCCGAGGCAGGAATTCATACACGACCACTGCCTGGAGGATCAATTTTCGGGGTCCTCGGCAGGCGGTGCATGTGGACACATTCGGGCCTCTGGGGGCCCAAACATTTCCCACTCAGTGCTTGCACTGAAGGGGTCCTAGCGGAAGTTGAAAGAGTTGGTAAAAGTTTCCCGCCGATGTTGGTAGCAGGCTGGGTTCCCGGGTTCCCGGTTCTGGGTTCCCGGGTTCCCGGTTAATGGTTCCGGGCCGATTTCGGTGGGTTTTGGGTTCCCGGGCTCCCAGGTTCCCGGTCGATCTCCTCAGCGAAAACCATCCTTGATTGGGGTTTTTCTCTGGTGTAATCTATATCCACTGCCCGCTGGGGCACCAGGACGGTGGATATGGATACATCCCCGCCTCGCACCACAGGGAGCTCTACCAGAGGCTCCCGCGTCAGGGTTCGCCCGCGCCCCCGCGCTTCTCTCGCACGCGTCGTGGCTCCAAAGGGAGCTCCACCGACGGGGGTACTCACACCTTTCAGGAGGGGAAAAAACACGCAGACACAATTGATCGTCGACTCCCAGGAAAATATAGGAAAATATGGGAACTGGGGGGGAAGACGAACACCTAGAACATGTGGGGAAATATGGGGAATCCTGTTATTTGTGTCTATTTATTTGTGTGTCCCTGGGCCCCCTTAACCTTCATGCTCTTGGGTCCTTCGCCGGTTTCGCGATTTCAGCGAGGAAGAGAACGGCACAGTCAGAAATTTTGGACAGTCCGCGCGGATCGTCGACGTGTACGTGTCTCATTTTTTCCGCCTCCACTTCCATCAGACGATTCCAATGGTGAGCCACTAGCAGATCACGTCTCGGCGGCGAGCCCGGCGGGGAAGTGAGAAGGGGCGGGCCTTCTCAGAAGGCTCGGAAGCCCCCCGGCCTCCTGAGAAGCTTCCGGAGCCCTCGAGGGCACCTGAGAAGCCCCCGCAGCCTTCTGAGAAGGCCTTCTCCTTCTCACTTCCCCCCGCTTGCTCGCCGCCGAAACAACTGGCACGCGTGCCCTGGCTCTTGCACCAACGAGCTGCGAGGGACAGGAGGCTTTCGCCTCCTTCCTCCAGGAGTTTCCCTCCGTGGCCGGGGGGGGGGAGGAACGAACGACGAACGACGAACGAACGACGACGAAAATACAGAGTTCCGAGCTCTAGAATACAGCTGTGCAAGAGAATCATGCGGGGACCCACAACGGGGTGGCGACCACACCGCGTGGTGAGTCGGTGGGGATTCGGGGTCACCGCACGGCCTCGGGACTCGGGCCGTTCTCCGAGGACGTCTCGGGCGACTGGGGCCTCCAGGGCCCCGAGACCGTGCGGCGACGGACCGCGTTCGATGAACCTGCGAGGAGAACTGCGACACTAGAACTGCGACACTACAGTGGCCCATCTTGTTCTCATGCCATCATGCCCCAAAACAATCCTTCAGCGCCCTGCCGCGCATGCGCTTCCTCTCCAGCTCGACCGATTCCTGGTAGGCGGCCGTCGACAGGCCAGAGCACAACGAGACTCGACCACGGCGTCGACCACCGTGCGGTGAGGGCCCTCGGGAGTCCGAGGCCACCGCACGGGCTGCCACCACGCGGCGCTGGGACCCCCGACTCGTGCCAGTGGTGGGCCGTTCGCAGACCCTGCGATCCGACGCTGCGGAAAAGTTGCCACATCGAGAGAATCACGACCAGAGCTCCGGACCCCATCTTTCTGCGTTATTTTTCGAGCCGGATCGATCTGTGAGGGCCCCGGGGCCCGAGAACGAGCGAAGACGCCCGTCGTGAAAAAATGGCAAGGCCAGGATCTCGGGGGATCACGCCCGCCCCGCCTCTCCCAGAGCTGCCGGCGGGGTCTCTTGGGGTTCCGAGGTCACTGCACGGTCTGTGACCACACGGTTCTGGGATCCCCGAATGATGCCAGTGGCCGGGGATGGGGAGGGGGGGGGGACGAACGACGAACGAACGAACGAACGACGAGCTCTAGAACACAGCTGTGCAAGAGAATACTGCCAGTGGTGAGCCATTCGCAGATCACGTCAGCCCCGCCTCTCCCGGGAGCTGCCAGAGGGGTGCCCTCGCGCCCAGGTCAAGCCGGCGTCGGGCTACGAGCACGCGAGCCTCGGCCTCCCCACGTTCCAGGGCGGCAGGGGCAAGAAGTGACCCCAAGGGAGCGCGGCGGAGGGCTCTGCAGCGGCTCGCCGTGCCTCGTCTCTCGCTATCCGCCTGCCCCCCGCCCTTCTCTGAATCTATGATGTTCCAACCTACTTTAGCCTTGATCATCGAAGTAATTTCGAGCACCAGGACAATACCGTAACTTGAGGGTTTTCACGTGTCGGGCCCTGGGAGGCGATACTCGTTCGACAAAGTTTCGACACTTTTCCTGGGTGCTCAAATTATTTTTGGGATGCGGTCCGTAAGTACGATGGGAGCATCGGAGCGCTGCGGAGGGCTCCATCGGCTCGCCGTGCCTCGTCTCGCTCGCCGCCTGCCCCCGCCCTTCTCTACACTCTACATCGCCTGCTCGTAAGTCGGGCGTGTCCCTCTACAGGAGGAATGTTCAAAAATAGTCAAACCATTTGTCTGGGGATGATTTTTCAACTACTTTTGACAATGTTTGAATATTTTTTCCGTCCAAAATCCGCCTGTAGGTGGGCACGCCCGACTTCAGCCTACTCAACATGTCGCCGCGCCGTTTGATCCGACACGCGGCCTCATACCTTGGGGATGGCGCCGCGGCCACCGGGGCAAGCGCTGCCTCGGGCGCGGTGGGCTCGCCGTGGGGTTTGCCGCGGCGCCCCGGCTGCGTCTGCCTTGGGCGCGGGACGCAGGGTTTGCCGTGAGTTTTACCGCGGTGCCGTTGTCGTCCACTTGGGCACGTCAGGAGCAAAGGGCGCGACGATGATACTCCTCTTGTCTCTCCCCCGAAGATGACTGGGAAGTATCCCGCCCCTTCCTCGTTTTTTTTTTTTTTTTTTTTTTTTTTTTTTTTTTTTTGTTTTCTTTCTTCTTATTCTTGTGTTGCTTGTTTTTTGTTATATTCAAAACAACTGATTTCAATGCTGAGTCCTTCCTTTTGTGCCGTTTTTTTTTGTGTTGTTGTTGTCGTCGTTGCTGATGTAATTGTTGTTGTTGTTGTTGTTTATGTTTGTGCTGTTGTTGATGTTTGGTGTTGTTGTTGCTGCTGTTTTCGTGTTGTTGTGGTTGTTATTGATGTTGTTGTTGTTGTTGCTGCTGCTGCTGCTGTTGTTGTTGTTGTTGTTGTTGTTGTTGTTGTTGTTGTGGTGGTTCTTATTGTCGTTGTTGTTGTTGCTGCTGCTATTATTAGTATTCTTGTTCTTATTGTTATTCTTGTGTTTTTGCAACCGATAGTTTTCGTTTTTTTTTTTTTTTTTTTTTTTTTTTTTTTTTTTTTTTTTTCAAAATGGTGCTCCCGCTGCAGCGTAGGCCTCTTTTCAGGATCGGCGCTGTGCTCCTGTCGTTCAGACTGGCGCTGTCGCCCCAGTGCGGGCCCTTTCTGGATCCGAGACCTTCCTCATCGTTGTTTCCCCTCCTTTCCCCTCCTCCGCCTTCCCCTGGTCCTCCTGCTCCTCCCACTCCTTCCGCTCGAGTTCCCGCTGCTGCTGTTTGTCCTCGTCCTCCTTCTTGCTCAGCCTCCTCCTTTCCCTCCTACTCATCCTTCTGCTCGTCCGCCACCTCCTCTTCCTACCCACCCTCCTCCCATGTACGCAGCTCCCCCTGTCCGATTGCGCATGATACGATTGGGTCTCCTTGTGAGTTCCAGGTCGGCCGTAACACGCGTCCGCAGATGGTGGAAGGGATGGGTGGGATAGGTCGGATATCAGATATGGCGCGAGCGCACCTGGCTTGCCCCAGCACCCTCGCTCCTCTCCCTCCCCATTTCTCTCTCTCTCTCTCTCTCTCCGCCCTTCCTCTCCCCTGCTCCCCCGCTCCGCAGCGGTGGTCGTTTGTTCGTTCGCTCTCCCCCCGCTCAGTCTCCAGCTCTCGCCCCCCTCCCTTGCCCTTTCCCTGCTTCTCCCCCCCCTCTCTCTCTTTCTGTTGTTCTTTCTTCCTTTCTTTCACTACCTATCTTCTCAACATTTCTGTACTAGATGTAACACATCGTGTGTGCGTGAGAGAGAGAGAGAGAGAGAGAGAGAGAGATAGAGAGAGAGAGCGTGTGTGTGTGCACACGTGTATGTGTATTTATACGATATATGTATGTATGTGTATGTATGTATGCCAGCCTGCCTGCCTGCCTGTCTGTCTGTCTGTGTGTCTGTCTGTCTCTAGGTAGGTAGGAGGTAGGTAGGTAGGTCGGTATGTATGTATGTTTGTATGCATATGTGCATATATGCATGCATGTATGCATGTATGTAGGTGTGCATGTATGTATGCATGCATGCATGTATGTATGCATGTATGTAGGTGTGTATGCATGTATGCATGTATGTATGTATGTATGCATGCATGCATGCATGCATGCATGTATGTATGTATGTATGTATGTATGTATGTATGTATGTATGTATGCATGTCAGCATGCCTGCATGTATGCATGTCTGCATGTATGCATGTATGCATGTATGCATGTATGCATGTTTGTTTAGACAGAACTGTGTATATGTATGTACGTATTATATATATATATGTATGTATACACACATATATATATATATATATATATATATATACACATACCCATTCATCTACCCGGGGAAAGAAATTAGGGCCCAGAAGCTACGACCTCGAACCCCCAATTTGGGCACAACCCTCCTGGGGGCCTCCAGGGGCCTCCTTGGCCGCTCCGCGGCCGCTCAAGACAGACCATGGGGCGCTCCAAGAGCGCCCACGATGGCTCCCAGACTGCCCAAGGTGCTGCCAAGTGCACCAAAAGCGCCCCACATGTGCTCCAGGACCGCTCAGGATAACCTCCTGGCGGCTCCGGAGGTCTCCAGGACGCCCCGACAGAGCTTCGAGAGGCCCCTCCAAGAGGGCCCCAAGAGGCCCAGATCGTGTCATTCCCGGAGGAGAACGTCAATTCTTACCATTTTCACCATTTTGGTCTTCACAGCGTCCAAGACGGCCTGACTGCTCTCTCCAGATCGCCCCAAGACGGCCACGCAGGCCCCCAAGGAGGCACCACCGCTGCCCAAGGAGAGGCTGAAGATGGTCCACGAGGCGTCCAAGACGGCCCAGGAGAGCCAGTCGCAACTCCATGATCTCAGGGCAGGACAGGACGTCGCACCTCCTCCTCCTCCTCCTTCCTCCCCCTCCTCTTCCTCCTCCTCCCCCTCCTCCTCCTCCTCCTCCTCCTCCTCCTCCTCCTTCTCCTCCTCCTCCTCCTCCACGCCGGCCCTGTTGCTCACGCCGGCCCTCTGCCCCTCGGTGTGCCCTTCGGTGCTCGCGCGCCCCCCCGCGGCCGTTTCCCAGCAGAGGCCGCCCAGCAGCTGCCGAAAGGTGTGGAGACGGGTCGCGCGCCAGCGCGTGCGCCGGCCGCGGCGGCAGAAAAGAGCAGGACGAGGATTATTCTGCACGAGCGAACTGGGCACGGAAAGAATGGGTACAATGCCCAACAGCGGATCCTGTACATTTTGAACAGGACTCGCTGTCCACGCCGCCGCGGCCTGTGTCCATTCGAGACAGGAGGCCGCCTGCCCAACAGCGGCCGCTGTTGGTTTGGGACAATATTTGCTGTTGGGCATTCTACCATTTTTTTCGGTACCCATTTCGGGCGTCCAAAGAGGATTATGATGCTCCAACCTACTTTAGCGTTGATCGCCAGAAAGAATTTCGAGCGCCCAAAAGAGTACCGAAACTCAAGGGTTTTCACGTGCCGGGCCCTGGGAGACACTCGCCCGACCCTGTTTCGACACTCTTTTGACACTCTTTTGACACTTTTCCGGGTGCTCGAAATTAGTTCTGGGATGTGGTCCTTAAGTAGGATGCGAACAACATAAGACGAGGAGAGGGGTCTAAGACGAGCGCGTTCACCACCGCTCGCAAATTGACTACTCGCAAATGGCCTGGATCTGCCGCGGGGATCTACGAGGAATTATATCGAAGCAGACATGTGTTTTTCGGACGTTTGCGAGTAGGCACTTTGCGAGTAGTGGAACGCGCTCGGTGGGCCGCCCGGGGAAAAGTCCTCAGGTACCTTCGGGGCGGCGAAGGGAAGCGTCCTGCGGTAATTATCTCCGGGCCGCCCAGGGAGCGTGCCCTTGTAGGTACCTTCGGGCTGCCCCTGGGAAGCGCGCTTGCAGGGGGGGGAGGATGGACCCTGACATCCTCGCGTCGTGAAAGCAAAATCACGATGGACGGATTGGGGCCGTCTTCGGCTTCTCTGGGGGCCCTTGTTGGGCCCCAGGGGACTGTCAAAATACGACTCTGGACGAAAAGCGGGTCCTCCTTTCAGACCCGATGCTGTAAAACAAAATTGCAACGTCGCAGCACCGCCCGCAAAAGCCGCCACTCGCCCCGAGCGGCGGCGACGGCGACGGCGGCGATGGCGGCGACGGGCGGCACCGCCCGTAAAAGCTGCCACTCGGCCCGAGCGGCGGCGGCGGCGACGGCGACGGCGGCGACGGGCGGCACCGCCCGCAAAAGCCGCCACTCACCCCGCGATGATCCAGCCACGTGAGAAAACCCCAAAGCGCAAGCACTGTTTGGGGAACCGAGATGGTCCAGCCACGTAAGAGCCCCTAAGCGCAACCACTGCTTAGGGATTCAAGTGAAAACGCAAAAACGCTGTCCAGCTCGCGCCTGCTCTCGAGCTGGATCGACCCGTGTGGGGGGTCCCTGGGGCCTGGGCCAGGAGGGGGTCCTCGGCCTCTGGGGGGCCCTACGCGGCGAGAGAGGCACGACGTCGAAAGCCTGGGAAGGGCGGGAGGGTTCGAGGAGGAGATCGACTGCAGAATTGATCTACCCCAGACTTGGGTTGATCCTGCCCGAACAGGGGTATGGGAGTCACTCGAGAACACACTCGTGAGTAGAGCATGATTTTGACTGCTTGATTTTCCATTGCGTGGCACGCTGTTTCACTTTCCGGCCCCACGGCGCCCGCCTGCAGCGCCCTCGATGGCGTGCACTCGCAGGCTCTGTCTGTCTGTCTGTCTCTCTGTCTGTCTGTCTGTCTGTCTGTCTGTCTGTCTGTCAGACTTGAA